CCATCTAGTTCAATTGTTCTTGGAGGGGTTGACAATCTCAACAAATAGGGTTTCTAGCACTGATTTTTCCTGAAGGAGTCTTCTGAATGCCAAGATACAACTTTTGCTTTTGGCCCCATTTGTAATGCAGCATTTGGTTGCTTCATTGTTTTTGATTAAGACTGGCATGCCTTTGCAAAGGGATAACTTGCCCAGAACATGATCACTGGCATCATGAGGAAGATTCCATAAAATATTTTAGGTAAGTTCATCTATGGCATTGGAATGATATTTATGCTTACTTTTATTCTTCTTTCTATTCATTTTAATGTCTGTTTTCCATTTATCTATGGAGTGAAAGTCAATTAGCTGTTGGTTTGTGTCTGAAGCAAATTGGACACATCCTAACTGGTTTAATCTGTCACGATGGATATTTCTTGCTGTGATGACTGATATATGACTAGATTTTGGATCAGATAGTTTAGGCTTGTTCTCACTTTTCCCTGCTATCCTGCTGCGAAGAAATTTTATGTCTTGTAAAGTGCAAGCTTTGTATCTCATATTTTCCAATGCTTCCTTAGTTTGTTATCTTCTTTGGTCTATCACGGAGTATAACTACTGTTGTGAATTGATGCCATATAGCTTTTCCTATTGCTGATTCTTGATCAGTAGGAGACATCCCTCTATTTAAATGTGTCCCCGCCCAATGACTGTATAATGGGGGACGGTTCATTGCCGGTGGCAATTGTGCAAAGTCACCACACAATATGACATTGTTTCCCCCAAAGGTTCATCGCCATGACCAGTTACCCTACACAGTCGAGTAGATATCTGATATAAGTCATGGCATGATGGCATTGAGACTTCATCCAGAAATATATATTCTACTCCATCAACCTTGCTTGTACTTGGGCTAGTGCTGGCGAGTTATTGTTTATTTTATCTGAATTGTCTGTGAACCCAAGGATAGAATGATAAGTTGATCCTCCCACTATTGCAGCCGCAGAACCGGTTGGTGCCATTACTGTAAACCAATGTGATTCACCTCTTTCATTGAAGTAGTATATGAGTACTTTGATTACCTGGGATTTCCCGGTACCTGCCATTCCTCCTAAGTACATTTTTAGTTGTTCTGTTTGAGGTGCACTGGCATGGTTTGCGATGATGTAAAATGCTCTCTCTTGTTCTGGTCTCAGCGAAAACTTCTTGACTACTCTTGCTTGCATTTTTGCCACATCAGGCCTTGATTGGAAGTAGTCCTTCAGTAGATAAGATTGATCCACAATCTTGACTTTGCTCCATTTCACTTTATTTCTATTTCCAGAGGTATTGCCCTCGCCTTGCTTGTCTTTATCCCTTTCTTCTAGTATACCTTCTTTTTTGTTTTGGATCAACTTTGCCCACTGCTGTTTATTTTTGTGTTCAATATCATTTGATTCCATTGGTATATCAAGTTCGATTTGACTGGGACATTTGTCTAACCATCAAGAATTTTTTCTATTTCATCCATCTGTTGCAGTCACTTTCCAGAATGTTTTCCAGTCTTGCCATACTCAGCGGCACCCTAATGTTGAATATCATTTTCATAAGGCATGGTGTATTCTCCTTGGTCATTGAAGTTATTCCCTTTTTCCATGGACATGTTATCCAGCGTATTTGGTAAACCAGGTATATTCCCCAACTTTCTTTGTTTGGAGTAATCATCTCGGGTGTCATAACATTCATATCGTATATTGAAATTGGACATTACTTGGGTTTGGCGGGGGGTAAAGTTATGAATGTGGAATGCATCGTCCCAACTTTGACCGAGAGATTTAAGGTCTTGACCAGTACGCCATGGTTTGAATAAAGTCATCATTGTAGCACAATAATATTCCTGATTACCTTCATCTCTCCTTGGGAGTGAGCTGCCGATGAAGTTTGGTACCAAGCCAAAACCTTCTTTGACCCAGGTAATGTAGTGTTTCTTGTGTTGGGGATGGCCTGCAATAAAAGTCAAGTCTTGAGGTTTGGTCTTCTTGTCCCGTTTATTAATATCAATTTAATCCATGACTTCTTCTTGTGGAACAAGATCATCACTGGAGTCCAATTCTTCAGATAAGCTATTGTCTGACATAGTCAGTTCTTGATTTTATTAGGTTTGGGCTTTGGGATTGGTTTCTTGCGCGATAATCTGATCCAGTCATATAAATTCATATCTTCATATTTTAGAGCATGATGTGTATAGTCCATAACTGTACTGTAAGGGGTGTAGCCATCTTTACTTTTACAAACCATTACTTTATTTTTCAGTGTTGCACTGATATTTTCTGTATCTTCAGATGGATTGTCATCCTCCCAGCTCTGCAGTACTTCTGATACATAAGATTTCCAAAATACAGTCTGGAACTTGTGGCTGGTGTAATGATCTGGATTACCAAGTAAATAAGCTGATGCCATGGGTGCCCCAATTTCCATTTTAACTGACAATGAATTGACAATTTGTGTCAATAGTTTCCGTGCCTTTTCTTGGTCTGGGAGATCTCCTCCCATCATAGAGGATTGTCTGTCAAACACATCTCATATTGTTTGAAAGATGGTGTAAGTTTTTAATGGTGTTTTGGTAATATAGTCAGTTACATATGCTACTACGGCTTTTAGTGCCGTACCAGACAGTAGACTTGTAACATCTGAATTAGATATGTCAGAGAAGGAGTGAAAGTGTTTATCATTGTTTCCTTTTTCTACATTTGTATATACCCGGTATTGGTATCGACATGAGTCTCCTCTACTAATTCCCTTGGGAATCGAGCTTTGCAAACACCTTTTACCAA